TAAGATAAGCTTACCCCAAGCTAAAAAGAGTTATTTTTTTTTTAAAAAATGTATCACCTTTCTGCAGCCATCTGCTCATAAAGTTGGGCCACTGAGAATTGCATGTCAAATAGTCAAAGGTCCAAACATTCAAATCACAGCTGGGGATTAATAAATACATGATGTATATATCCATTTCCAGAAGTCTCATTTAGGCCATGACAAGAAAAATAAGGGAAGAGACTGAATGTATTAAATTATACCAAATGCCTATTTACTAGAAATGCATCATTTAGTTTTGCAAGCTGGTCTTCTTATCGATGGAGCTATCAGATGTTCTTCGGGGCCACTGGAAAAGTCAAAGCTCGAGTAGAAGATCTCTCCAATATGCCCTCTTCTTTACCCAGAATCTAATAAAGATCATTAAATTACATGTCTCTTCCTCCCCCTGAAATCAGAGCTCACTACTCTGATATTAGAGCTCAGGAAATAAGGTATGACAACTTCCTCGTGAAATTTTAGAAGGCAGTGCAGGGGTCTGAAGGACAGGCCTGCAGCTGCAGACATGGGCAGCTCTAATTAACAATTCACCCTGCTGAGTAAAATCTAATCTAAAGAGAGAAGAAAAAAGGAACTCTGGTTAGCTCAGACTGTCACCTACCTGCTCTTTCCATGCATGCTCCATTTCAATCATGTAGTAGTTCTCTCCTCTTGCACTCTCTCCCATACACACATTCTCTGCTGGAAGAGAGGAAGCTTACTTCACAAAATGAACAAAAATATCTGAGTTAAGCCCACCACTGACCATCAAAGACAATATCCTTTCTCCAACAACTCTGTGATTTTTAAGAAAAATAGAGAGACAACCAATGGAACCGAATGGAATTTACCTATTTAATAGATAAAAATAAGACTCTTAGCTAAATTGGTTAACATTTGGCTACACAGGGTGATATGCTGAAGTCCCCAAATTATAGCACTAGAAGCCAGTTTGGCACCTATACATTGCATGAATAATACAGATTAGTGGACCAAGACAAAAACTAGCAAGACTTACATTTATGTTCTAAAGTTTGATAGCAATCCTTCTTCTTCCACAACTGGATGCTGCCAGGGACATACATCCAGATGCATAGCATGAATTTATAACTAAGTATCTAGGCCTTTTCTGCAACCAGGAGAGAATCTGATTCCTCAGATCAAGGAAAGTACGTTTGCTTTCAGACTGGTGTGCCTTTTGGTCACATGGAGTCTCATTAATCTATATTAAAGCTAAAACAAAAAACAGTATTTTGTATCCCTATAATGAGCCTTAGCCATACAAAAATACACAATCTTGTCACTTACATTTCAGTCATGATAAAAAAACATAATTAAATGTTCCAAGGATGTAGTATCACATCCTTGTTTCTAGGAGTAGGCTCAATTTTACTAGGATTTAGCTTTGAAATAGCAAAGTTACTTTCTCTGCTCCATAAAGATATTATTCAAGCAGAACTTGAATGACTGATTATTTGCTATATGGACAGTATTAGCACGGGTGGGATTCAAAATTTTTAACAACCGGTTCTGTGGTGGGTGTGGCTTAGGTGGTGGGCGTGGCTTGGTGGTCATGTGACTGGGTGGGCGTGGCTTGGTGGTCATGTTATTGGCTAGGCGTGGCCAACTCAATATCACTCACATTGAGGCACGCATCTCCTCGCCTGGCCTCTCATGACTGTGGGGATGCTGCAACAATTCTAAGTGTGAAAAATGGTCATAAGTCACTTTTTTCAGTACCGTTGTAACTTTGAATGGTCACTCCACACAAGCAAAGTACCAGCAAAGGAGGGGGGGAAAAACTCCAGAGAAGTTCCTGAGACAGGAAGTCTAGTCCTGCCAATAATGTAATAAGGGTTAACGAAGAGGCAGTTTCTGTAAGCAACACCAGAATGTTTCCTTCCTGCCTTCCTTACAGGATTAGGCCAGTAATTTCTTCTAACAACCGGTTCTCCGAACTGCTTAGAATGTTAACAACCAGTTCTAGCGAATAGGTGCGAACTGGTAGAATCCCACCCCTGAGTGTTAGAATAAGGTGTGTATGAAATAATGAGTCTAATTCATGGGCTGGGAACAAGATGAAGGCACTCCATGGGGATATGGCAGGAAAAAAATGTGTTCCATGGTTAGACACACATGAATAAATGACTTGTGAGATAGCGAATCTTTGCTCATCTTCTCTTAGTTCTACCTTTTTGTTGTGTCTGATTTTTCTGAATGGAAAAGGTTGTTATATGTAAAAATTGACATAGGTAAGTTCTTTAGTTTTTACTTACTTTTCTTCTTGTCATATTGGAAAAGCCATTTATTTTCTTATGTGTAGATATTGTACATTATCTGTACAATGTGTAGATATTGTACATGATCTTATTAACTGAGGTATCACCCAGATGCTTTGGTTCCAACACAAGTCTTCCTCACATTTGGATATATTTGCAATCCATTCTATAAATCTAAATTGCTATCTTACTAATACCCATACCAAATTGCTAGCAAATAAAATCAGGAGTTATGTGCCTTGCAACTTTTAAATGTTGTCTTTTTATAAATGAAATCAAAATCACAACTAACCTGGAAAAGAAGAGACATTTATATGTTAGTGTATAAAATGCCTACCATGTATTCAGAAACCAGGCAGAATTGAACCCCTCAAGAGAAGCAAATACGCCTGCCAATCTTTTCAAATATTGCCATGGTACAAACAAGTTATCAGAAGTTATTTTTAAAGTAATCTCATATTAAAACATCTTCAGGCTGTGATTAGTATTAGCCATAATTTGGATTGTTACAACAGAGGAAATCTAAGATGACTAACAGCCTAAATAAATGCTTCCATGGGCCACACTTGGGCTCTCAGAAAGAAGAGAGAAGTGGAATGGTGCAGTTCAAGGCTCACTATGGTTTACAAATCATTGTTCCATATCCATATCCATTGCTCATCTGGATCCTTCAAGATGTTTTGAATGACAATTCTTATGAACCCCAGCCAACATGGTAAATGAACAGCGACTATAAGGATTGTAAGATAAAACATCTGAATTTCTACACTAAGCAAAACTCTACCATACAATATGAAGCTGTCTATCTTCTACCTCAATCCCGTGAAATCCATTTATAATGTCCTAGCTTAATCTCTTTCATTTATGGATACTTCTTGAAATGACTTATAATAGAACTCAAATTCATAGTCCTTCCATTATCACATAAAACAAACAAACACTGCATGGGAAACATTATTAGAATTCTTGGCAACATCTGTAACTACAATCCATTCAGCTTTCAAATACCACCATCGCTATTCATCCCCTCAAGCAAACCCAACTGCCACGTAAGTTTCTGTATGGTTAATGAAACCTTTGTTAATGAAGTAGTTTTTGCCCATTCTTGATTTCTTCAGACCCTGGCATTTTGCAAAAAGCAATTGCTGGGGATTTAAAAGAATGGTGCATTGTTCCTATATTTTCATTTCTTTCCTCTTGTGCAAATGACAGTAAGGATGATAGTGTGACTTCAATATTGAAGATCTTAAAGCAGTGAACAATGGTGTAGGAAACTCAGAAATTAGAATATATTTATTCATTGCATCCTATTATAAATCATAGTTAAAAAGTGGACATTGTTTACAAGACTTCTGATTGATTTTACAAAAATGGATCAGTGTCCTCTCCTCTCAATATAAGTAAAGAGGACATTTTCCTCTTTTATTTTCTAACTGGCTTGAACCTAAAAAGTATTTGTTTCAATCTAAAGATGGCAAAATTGCTATCCTGAGTCATAATTCTTTGCATGTAATTGAAAAGTAATCTGGAATAACAATTTGAGGAAGCCTGGTTATTTAGCTTAATGCTCTTTTTGTTACACTGCAAAATATCATCAGATAGAAAACCTAACATAGCTAAGACAAGCAAGTATTTTTTTAAGTTGCAGATAAGTCAAGTTAATTATATTAAGGCATTAAATATTCTGTGTGGCATGATACCCCCTAACCTAAAACCAGACAATTCACTAATGACCTTGGTGAGCTTCACTTCTGTCACTTTTGTTGTTCTATAGGCCTCAACCCTAAAAAGAAGAGGGGAGAGGGAACCCTTCAGTCTTGAATAGCGGGACTCTGGAATACATTTTCTGATTCTTAAAATGTTATGCAACATCCAAAGCAATCCAATGAATTTTAAAAAAGGATTGCTTTGAACGAGTTACGGAATAATGGAATTCAATTAGGAATAAAAAATAATGGCAAAATTCCAGTTTGTATGTTCAAGTACTTGCAAGTCATTTTGGAAATAAACAATTGTGGGTAGAAGTAGATTATGCAATATAACACAGTCAAAAGCTTTGGAACAAAGGATCCAATCTCAAAACCATCCAAAAGTATTTGGCTATTTTCCATATTCTCCAAAGGACATCAAAAGATAGACTCAGATTTGCTGGACTTCGTGGAAATTGTATAACTAACTAAGCAAGTTGGAACTTAGGGGAAAACTTTGTTAAAATGTTTTTAGTTAAAAAACATTTTAACTAATATACCTAGTAAATATATATATAAAGAGAGAGAGAAAGAGAGAGAGAGAGAGAGAGGGAGAGAGAGAGAGAGAGGACGCTGCATCTTCTGTCCTTTCAGTTCTTAACCATTTTACACACAAAAATGCACATACCGAGACACATTTGCAGATAGAAAGTTATTCAATATCTAAAACTCATAACAACCAACCTTTCTATAAGCATTAAGGTATCTTTGACTGTATTTGTCACTTCATAGAAGTCAAAAGACATCAACCCAAAAATGGCAGGAGAGATACCAGCCACAAATTATACACAATACTCTCTGTAATGTTCTTTGAGCAGAATCCAAGAATAATTTGCCTAGGCAAAGGGCTATTTCAGAAGCTGAATCCAAAAACTCAATTAAAGCAAAAGACAAAAGAGATGCAAAGACAAAAGAGCAGTCCTATGTTTGCACTTAAGCCATTGTTTCTTCTTACCTTTAGGTACATTAATGTCAGCGTAAGTGTGGATCTGAAGAAAAGATAAGAGATGTTTTTTCAGATGCCCAGAACAAAGCAAACATGCATTGTTTTTCACCAACACGCTGAGTTCTTTAAAGAAGAATACAGACCATGGTTTCTGATTTCCAGCCTTTTCAGCAGAGTGAAAAATGGCCCATTGAATTCACTTTTCTAGAGCCTGGAATCTTGTCCATTCTTGGGATAAGACCAACTTGGCTTCTTCTTTTCATAGACAGACTTTTCCTAAAGGCAACTTTGGTTCACGCAACCTACATGGTGCCAGGTAGGCCTTTGCTACAACTTGCCTGGCCAATGCATCAACACACTTTCCACAGGCCTGGGATGACATTGCCAACTCTTGAAAGATGGATGCTGAAACAATGCAATTTTGAAAGAAAAAAGAAAATCTTATTCCAAAGCAAACTCTGACATAACCTTTACTAAACTTTCTCTACTCACTCAATCAACTACTTTTCTAACAAAAAGAAAAGAAGGGGAAAAAAAAAACACTTGAGCTTCACAAAACCCTAATCCTGAAAATGGTGGAGGGGTGAGTTCATCAAGCCCAAACCAGGTTGGGATCAGAAGGAAGTAAGCAGCTACATTGGGGTCAGCAGGCTGTTGCTGCACTGCTAGCAGCAAGGAAATGAGTCTGGTGAGTCCCACCATCTATCTTTTATAGTGCTTTGTTTATGAGCCGGCTGCCCCTATTTCATAAGGCCGTGTTTGCTAGAAAGCACATGAAGGAAGGAATGATGAAGATGACTATTAACACTAGTCCAAGGACACCTTTTCTTAAGCCTCTTTCATAGCAGCAGACATGGAGGAACAGCCCGGCAATTGTTCTCTCAAATGTCACCTTTCTGAGCAGGCCACTGTGCAGGCAAAGCTATGCTCCTGTTGGAAGGAGGTTCCCTCCACCCCCACCCGCCTTTAAAAAAAAAAAAAAGCATGAACTTTGCTATTCTCCTCATATCTCCAAAGGACCTCAACTGACAAGGGATGCTTTTCTTCTTTTCCCAGCTGTCCTCTTGATCCACCTTCCCTCCCCTTTTCTTTTTCCTTCTTCGCACAGTTTGAACAATTTGTCTCTGTTCTAGCACATTCCTCCAGCCCATTCTTTGGGTGCCCAGCATAAGATTTACACTGGGTGGAAGAACGGTGAGCAGGGGGAAGGGAGGGAGGGAGGGAGGAGAGCAGAAGGTAATACAAGGCCTACATTTAGATAGACCAGAAAAGCGAGCCAAATAGCCTGCAAGATTGTTGTGCCATCAACTTAATACCTGAGTGAGGAAAACAAAGAGCCTTCAGAGAACTTCTGACCCGTCCTCCATCCAAAAGGGATCAGAAGAGAAGATAACGTGAGTTGAAAGAGAAGGCACAAAACATAATTAGAGCTATCCAAGGAGGGGACAATATATGATGACAGAGAACCACACTTGTTAATTACACTCCAGCCTTATTAAAATCTTTTTGGCATCAATAACTTCTTCTGCACAAAGACTTCGCACTCTCTTGCGCCAGTGCTTTTACTGAGAAAAGCTAATACATATTTTCAAAGCATTTATAACTATCTCATTAATGACTTTTAAAAATAGGTTTCTTTTTTTGAGGCTTTCAGGTACAGTCTGTTTTGAATGCTATTGATCAGCAATTTATAACTGCCTTATAAATTCCCAGATTAAAGCCTGAAAAAAAGAGAAACCAAAATATTTTGGCTGAACCCACCTTTTAAACATATTTAAAAGTAAATGAACACATTTAGAAAATGGTATTTAAATCCTTGCAGAAAAATTGTTCTAGTGAAATGGTATTCTGCCAGAAATTTTAAAAAAATTTCTAAACATAATATGTATATAACTCTAAGTCATTCACACTAAATGTTTCCCTATTAAAAATAATTAATCTCAATTCCAAAGTTCAAATTACTCTAGCTCAAAAATCTCACTTTATCACATAGCAGGTAAGGATTATTTCTTTTTAGAAATATTTTTATGTAGTGTTTTTAACACGTCTTTCTGGATTTCATGATACAGAAATGGATAATTACATTTTATCTTACCAATTGTAAGTTCTCTTACTTTTATTTTTTCTGTGAAATTTGGTTGCCATAGACTCAATAAAACTTCAATAAAATCTACACGCCTACTGGCTGGATATACATAAGCAACTACCTCTCTATTCACCCTGGAGGATAAATCAGATTAAGAAACAAATGCCATATAGAACTTAGATACTTTTATTAGAATAGCTATAATAACAGAATCTTGCAAGTCTGAATATGTTTCCTTTGTTCCTCATTTTATCTTTATGTGAATTAGGGAGCCTATCTGAGGCATTTAAAAAAATATAGTTCCTCAGAATGATCTTAAGCCTTTCTTATCTGATCATTGCTTTTTTGGTAGTGGATTTTCCTATTGCCCTTCAAGGCTACCCTCTCTGCCCTCTGCATGATCAGGAATTATTATAAAAGATAGGATCTCATATACATGCAATGCCAGTATATATCAAGTTGACCTTCCAATCTTGATGAAATTCCACAGGTTAAGGATAGGAAAACCATGGTACAAAACTATACATCCCATTCACAGAATTATATTATTTTAACATGTAAGTCCCTTGACTGTGAAAATGGCACAAAGATGTCTTTGAACTGCATTTCAAGCAAGTATGTACTGCAGTGATTAGACTATTTTGATCTACATAGAAGGAGATCAAGTAACTTCACTTGTATGCAAATCATCAATAAGAATTCAAACATATTTTCCAGACCTTATTGAGAATGTACAAAAGGAACTGGAATCCAGCTAGACAAACTGTGACCTGAAAGATCAATATTAGATCAATATTTTTTTAAGATCAGATTTAATAAATATAGGTTATATGCAATTTGTCTAAAATAAAAATTAGTTTTGAAATGTATTTGAAGTGTATGATTTCTTAGAACTGAAACTTATAATGTAGCTAAGTCCCACTTGAATTTAGGGGTGCTTATTCCTGGCCACATAGGTTCAGCTGGTAAGTAAAATAGTTTGAGGCCTTTAGCTAACATGCAACCTTAATTTTCACTGTGGCAAATTTATGGTGTCTGGGTACAATGGCTGGGGAATTCTGGGAACTGAAGGCCACGTGTCTTCAAGTTGGCAAAGCTGATAAACACTGTTTTAGTCTGAGAAAATATAGAAATAATACTTGAAACCCTTAATGTCTCTTCAAAACTCTCCAGAGAAGTGTTACTCAACTGTGACAACTTGAAGAGGTGTGGAGTTCAACTCCCAGAATTCCCCAGCCAGCAAAGCATTAGTGGAAAAAAGAATAAATAAAACAATCACCCTCAAAGACTAAGACGTCTTTGAGATAAAGTATTTGTACTAATATATGTTCTATAATAAAGTACAACAGAGAAGGAGATCTGCTGCTGCTTTCTGACTTTCTCACCAAAATGATCTGACTCTATTGGTTTGCTCTCATCCTTTATCCTTTATCTCATCCTGTGTTTTGGAGTGCCTGCTGTTTAGATTCTTCACTGGTTTTGTTTAACCTAATTTAAATCAAAAGCACACAACCTAGATGCTAAACTTATTCCAGTGTATAAATACAGGATATTATTCCCTCCACTGACAAATATGGCAAACTTTTAATAGAGTGGCTATCTCTGCTTATCACATGTCAGGTAAAAGGGCTACCGTATCTAAAGCTCCTTTTAATTTCTGAGCCACCATAACACCAGCCTTTGAGGTGCTGCAGTTATATTCCATTACCCTTTTTATTATCATCTTACTAGCCGAGGCATAAAATTCAATTAGTTCAACACTATTTAGTGAGAGTTTATAACAGGAAAACACACTGATGCTGTGTCTATATTATATATCACTCGCTGAATAAACACATACGGTTCAAAGATGGCATCGTGCCATTTGGGAAGCCTGAAAGGTTTATTCGTAGGACTCTGCCAACAATTTTGTGTGGTGATTTATGTATGCTACCTACCCCTGAATTAAGCAAATTGCATCTCATTGACTTCAGGCAAGTTAAAGACAAATATGTCTTAAATATTTGCTCAGAGTACAGCCTAGCAGTCTTATTCCCTCCAGCTACAGTGGCTCTTTAAATGAAAGGAGGTGATTTGCAAGGGAGATCATTTAATCTTGCTTTGCTGCTGAAGCACATAGGAATAAGTTTATTTCTCTAACATTTTTTTTTCCTTTACACTGGGATCCAAGAAACCTGAATTCCACACAAGATTAAGAAGTGGAAGGAGTGCACTCTAACCTAGCTAATTTTTTATCTAGATTGCTTTGCCTCTTGATCTGGGATTTCAAGTTTTCTTTTTAATTAACAAATGGTGTTATGGTGATTTCAGCATGTTCCTTACATTTTGAGCCCAGCAACCATAAAGATAATGGAAGTTTCCAACTGCTTTAGAGTGATTGGGGAGTGAAATTGATATTAAATACCTGTAGAAAGTGAAGGTAATAAATACACTCAGAGAAACTGGCCTGCTGCAACAAATAATCAGCTAATCCAGGTAGAGCTTTTCCCTGTCTCCTTTTCTTGTTTAAGGTCTAGACAGAAATAAAATTCAAAGCAGGAGGTGATATGAAACAAACTATTAAACCAGTGTGGCCTTCCCGAGGTGTCATAGTTGTGATAAGTATTGTTTAAATTTTACCTGGAGCTAAACAAATGTCAATAATACCTCAAGCCCAAACACGGGAAATATCTAATCAAGAAGCTGCATCAAGGCTGTGATGAGAGTGAAGTGGGAATGTTTTAACTCTCCAATTCCCATCCTGTCCTGAGATCTTTACAATAATTTATCTGCAGCTTGCAAAGATAAACATACCCTAACTAAAACATTTGTATATGACAGAATTTATCAATCTTCTCACCCTCCCCCAGATCCTTTTCAATTTGCCAAATTTACTACAAGTTACTATACAAATAATAGTTGTGCTAATGCCCAACAAACACATCTGTTGAAATAGAAAGCAATTGTATTTCTCCTTGTTGCCCGAATCTCATGGATCAAAAGGAGAGTAAGAGCCTGATCTTTTGCTTGAGGACTTGAAGCTTATTCTCATAAACAGCCATTTCAGTGCTGGATCATCATTTTTAAAAATTGGCTGTAGCTATACCCAATGAATGGTTCCATTACTGCCATATCCCAGCATTGGAGAAGCACAAAGAAAGTAAACTCTTATGCCTACCAGATTATATAGCAAATCTTAGATTCGTAATGACTTTAAACCAATTTGGGTATACAGGCTGAAATAGCTGTGAGAACAGTTTCCTAGGTTCTTTAATATAAGAACCATAATAAATAAAAGCCAATGTAAGTTTTTCCATTAATTCCAGCCTCCCTTGGATCTAAATTTTCATCTGACAGTTCTTTCCATGTCTATTAAGCTGGTTTTAAATAAAAGTGGGAATCTACCTGGAATAGCTGGGAAATGTAGGCTATCCAGAATTGGCTTAAGCTATCTAAAGAAAGTTTAAGAAACAATTTGCCAGAGATTTTTTTTAAAAGGTGTACTATAAATAAGTGCTTTTGAAGCTTGCAACATATTTTATTAATTGATGCCAAGTAATCTTAAGATGCCAAGTGTTCAATCAAC